GCATGATCTGGTCTGGTGCAATTTCATCCCCTCCCAGGAGTCTTCGTCTACCTGTTGCATATGACGTGCAGTGACACATAACATGCAGAGTAGTTTCGTCTTCTAATTTGCAACCCCTGCAGGTCGGTTGATCGCTCAGTCCCATCCTGAAGAGGTGTTTTTTGCAGGGGGCGTGTCCTGTTAAAAAGGCCACGATCCTCCTTATTTTTTGCCTGCTGAGTTCGTTTTTACGTACTGGTTGTGGAGGTCCCACCAACTGCTTTGCGGTATGGAGTCGCGGTGTCTCCTCCCAGTACTTTCTGTGTTGTTCCAAGATCCACTGCCCAAGGTTTAAGGTGATCCTTTCCCCAGATCTTCCTCTTTCGACCCTACCAGCGCCTGTGCCCGACGCTGTTTTTATGCCCTCCGTGTACCATACGGAGTCCCCTGTGATAGCTGATGGAGTCTCTCCACCATCTCGCCCCTCATTTAGAACAAATGTTCTAAAAGGTACCGAGATGCTTAGAGTTTTGATCCCATGGGTTCGTTTTCAATTTTCTGCAGATCCCACTATGCCCCAAATCCGTTGCTTTCCTGAGGACATCGTCACCCATACGATAAGCACTTCTTAGGGCCTCAGCTTCAATGGATAAATGCAAAGGCTCCAGCCCCAGGAATGTCTCCATAGTTTATATGAGTTTCATTGCTGCTTCGTTTTCAGGTGGTCACTTTATGGTACCGTTCCCCCGAGATACTATTGGGGCTCCCCTACGCCACATCAGTGGACATCTGGTCCATCGGCTGCATCATTGTGGAGCTCTACACGCGCAAGCCGCTGTTTTGCGGTAAATCCGAAAAAGAGCAACTGAGCGAAATTGTGAGAGTTTTGGGGAAGCCGCCCAAAGACGAATGGCCGGAGAGAAGTGCCCCCATCAAGTGGAGCGCTTTTGCACTGTCCGAGAAAGTGGATCTAGAAGTCCTGGTCCCTAACATGTGCGAGAACGCTTTGGGCCTAGTCAAGGTAAGCGAAGCACGTTCCGAGTGTCTTCGTTCCGGGCTCACTTCCACTTGTTTCAGAGCATGCTGACTTTTGACCCGAACAAACGAATCAGCGCTCTAGAGGCTCTCAGTCATGAGTATTTCCTAGAAGAGCCCATCAACACCTAGCTGGCTGCCAGCTTGCGCAAATTTAACGGAGTAAGGATGGGTTTTTTACGCTACTGCATACCAAACTAAACCATTTAGTTCATTTTAGTTGATGCTATCAGCAAATTTTATGCTAGTTTTAGTTTTTCAATGTTTTCGCCGAATTTTAATTTGTTTGGCCGCGGCTTAACAAGACCATACACGGTGAGTTGCCCGTTTGGACTTGTGCGTTTAGTTGTTGCTTTTCGGATCCCTGTTTATGTATCTAGAAATAAAACTCACCGTGTATGTTGCGTTCATTGGTTTGAACAGTCGCGACACTAAGTGATTTATGTATGTAAATTTTCTGTATTTGAGGGCACAGCTCGGTTTCCATTTCCCAATTCCTCTGTGTATACAGGGTTATTCACGCTATACGGCACGGACGTTTGCGGCTAGCCCGTTTGTTTTTTGCAAAGTATTATTTGATGAATCCACAGACGCGTATCGGATGCACAT